CTTCGATATCGTTAGATCGTTTCTTGTTTTATTGTGTTTGTCTTTTTGATCATCCAAGCAATTTCAAATTAATATACAAAGGGTATATAGTCGAATGAGGGAGTCAAATGTACAAATTTCGGCGCAGAAGACATTAAACAACAATCGTAATTGACAAAAAGAACGTAACAAAAAGAAAAAATGACACTAAAGCCGCTGGAAAATTATTTTTATACATATTCGATATTAACACATTACCGACCGATAGCCTATTAATCGACTTCTTTACCGGCCAACGCTTACCGACCGATAGCCGATTAATCAACCGCTACCGGTCGGTAAAGTGTTAAAACTGGTCCAATTTTCAAACGGACATAATTCCTGCAATAGTGAAGGTATCTCATTGAAATTTAGTATGGAAATAGAGCTCATGAATACCTTAAAAAAAGTACTAAACAAAATTTCCGTATATATCAAATGATGCCCTAAATATAATGCAAGAGAAATAAAAACGAAATTTCCTGTTATATGAGGTTGAATCGAATTCTCCCAATTTCATATAACCCGGGGGAAAGTTGCATTTCTATTCTTCAAATTGAACTTTCTTTATCTGTGGTCGATGTCGAAGACGAAGAAAGTAAATAAGATTTATTAGAATCCAAAGCAATAATACACACTCGTGGGACGAATTATCAAGCAATGAAAATTTTACTGGTGAATTAAAATTCAATATTTTTCTATCTAGTGGTTGTTGCGTTTAACTGGAGCATTTTAAATATCTCTTTATGATAGAAAAATATTGTTTTATTTAAATGGACAAATTAAACATTTCTTTATGACTGAAAAATGTTGTTTGATTTAAATGGACAAATTAAACATTTCTTTATGATAAAAAAATATTGTTTGATTTAAATGGACAAATTTGATATGCAATAAGTGTTTTCTCCAAGTAATATTTTTCGAGATTTCAAAATCATCGAAATTTTCTTGAATGGAACTGCATATTAAACAATATTTTTATTATCGTGACATGATAGCTGAGGTCTAGACCAGTCCATAAATCTCGAAAAATATGACTTTGAGAATAATTGTTCGTGTATCATACGATTTGTTTCTTTGAACCAAATAACTTAACCGAAATACCTTTCGTGACAGTATTATTAACACTTTACCGACCGATAGCCTATTAATCGACTGTTTTACCGACCAACGTTTACCGGCTGAGAGCCTATCAATCAACTGTTTTACCGGCCAACGCTTACCGACCGATAGCCGATTTATCAACCGTTACCGGTCGGTAAAGAGTTAATTAGCTAAGCTATTCTGATGATAATAAATTTTGCTCTACCTCATTAGGACTATTAAAATTATTAAAACAATAGTTGAATCACTTTTGAACAGCTTCAAATCCAGTACAAGAGTTTTAAAACATCTAAACAGAATCTAAAAAAAAGTGATCTATTTTCTCGATTCCTGAAATAAAGAAATATCAATAAAAAAAAAATTGTTACTTAATTATTTAATAATATTCATCTATTTATCTATTTATCTATTTACGGTTAAAACGCTCAAATATGCATCGATATAAAGACAGCGATTAAATTAATATAAAATCTATGAGTCCCTTTCTTATTTAACAATATAACGTATATATTTTAATACATTTCTCACCACGTGCGCATCACGCTCTCTTCCATACAAGGGACTTCACGCGTCGTCGCTCTCGCGCACCAGCGCTGCCAACACCCATTCTCCTTCATACCACACTCCACTCACCAGGCATACCACTCAATAAAAATAACCCCACATATTCTTGGGTTATTAGTTTTTTCGTAGACGGACGCGTCAAGGATATATGAAGGTCAACTTTGTTTTTTTTAAATGGAATGAGGTACTTTCTTAGAAAACTAAACTTTCCAGAAAAAAAATTTGAAAATGTGTGAAATATTTCGACAAAATTAAAAAATTTCAAATCGTTCCGGAAAAATTATTTTCGGTTATGGAGGTCAATTACAATCATTTTTTGTCATTAGACATAACTTCGAATTCCTTTCCACTTTCGAGAAAAAAATTCGAGAAGGTGTGAAATTTTTCGACAAAATTAAAAAATTTCAAATTGTTCTAAAAAAATTCTTTTTGGTTGTTGGGGTCACTTATAATCATTTTTGGTGAATAGACACGCCCCCGAAATCATGGCCACTTTCGAGAAAAAAAATTCCTTACCGAAAATACGATTTCTAGCCAGAAATGCTTCCTTAAAATATCATAAATTCTGAACGGATTGGAGAATTTTAATGTTTTAAAGGGCAAACAACGCGTATTTAGGTGAAGAATATATAGAAATCGCAAAAATATTCGAAAAGTGGACACTTGACTCTGCAAAATGAGAAAAACCCCATAAAAATGGTACAATCTTCAAACGACCATAACTCCTACAGTAGTGAATATATTTGAATGAAACTTTTTTCTGAAGTAGAGCTCGTGGGTACCTACAATAAAGTATTAGGGAACTTTCTTGTAGGACGTCAAACAGAATTACTAAAAATCAAAAACGAATATTTAAGAAAAATTAATAGGGAGTAAGTAGGTGTTCAAATTTTGCGGCGAAAAGAAAATTTCAAATCGTTCTGGAAAAATTCTTTTTGGTTGCGGGGGTCAATTACAATCATTTTTGGTTATTAGACATACCTTCGAAATCCTTCCCACTTTCGAGAAAAAAATTCGAGAAGGTGTGAAATATTTCGACAAAATTACAAAATTTCAAATCGTTCTGGAAAAATTATTTTTGGTTATGGAGGTCAATAACAATCATTTTTGGTGAATAGACATACCCTCAAAATCCTACCCACTTTCGAGAAAAAAATACGATAAGGTACTGAATTTTTCGACAAAATTCAAAAATTTCAAATCGTTTTGGAAAAATTATTTTCGTTTGCGGGGGTAAATTACAATCATTTTTGGTTATTAGACATACCCTCAAAATCCTACCCACTTTCGAGAAAAAAATTCAGAACTGGAGGAACTTTAAACGTTAATAACTTTTTAACAAAGCATCAATTTAAAAATTGATATTCTTGATTTTCTTTTTATTTTGGTCTCTAGAATCTTCCATTACAATTTTTCCCAGGGTTGTGCCGAATACCTTGCATATGAACGAGTCGGTTACGACGACGACGACGCATTTGCACGGACCGTATATTAATTTAACAAGATTAGAACCATTTATACATAGCCGAGCGAAGGATAAAGAAACAAGTGCTGGAAAGTTTCACGACTTCGTCGCGAATAGTAATACCGTGTTTAACAAACTCGACAAAACATTCTGAAAACACATATATCTCGATATCATTCATTCGTGATAACTTTAATTACAATTTTATATTCAAGTTTACCACCTATAATAACATTTTCAATGAAATGAGTATTTATTGATGTTGGAATGTTCAAAATTTAGCGCCATTCAAAAAAAAAAATTCGTGAGCTCTTATGTTTTTATGTTTTCGTTTTTGTACGGTATGCGGCGCGACAGTCGAATAAGTGTGCCTTGGTTTTGGCTGCCAATTCTATCTTGTGTAAGAATCTATACTATTATATAAAGAGAGATTTTTATGTTCGCGCAAAACTCAAGACCTATTGAACCGATCTTCCTCAAATTTTGACACGTTATTCCTGCATACTCTAGGACGGACATAGGCTATGTAGCATGTCTCAGAAGCGCGTTATTAACATGCAATTTATATGCAAAGATTTCATGTGTACGACTGTTTGGCAGACCACGCGACCCCTGTGTACGACAGTCTACTTGCGCGCGCATGCGCGTATTCGGCCCGCACGATACCTCGCCCGTAGCAGTACTGCGATGTTACCGCCAGGTGGCGAAGCTTCTCGAGCGCTTTCTCGCGAGAGAATTGCATTATCGCGGTTATATATGTCAGGACGATCGTCTGGTCACAAATTGCTTTTGTACAAGGGGCATGCTAGTAAATTATATGTACATGTCATGAAATCATAAACTAAATTGATATTAATAAACATAGCTATTAAATATAAAAAAATAGATATTTAATATACAATATATCTTATAAAGACTGTAACGAGTTTCCATAATTGTTTACAAGTACCTAGGTTTGTTAGGTTGGGTTAGGTCTGGGTTAGGTCTGGGTTAGGTCTGGAATAAGTCTGAATTAAGTCTGGGTTAGGTCTGAATTAAGTCTGAATTAAGTCTGGAATAAGTCTGAATTAAGTCTGGGTTAGGTCTGAATTAAGTCTGAATTAAGTCTGGGTTAGGTCTGGGTTAGGTCTGGAATAAGTCTGGGTTAGGTCTGGGTTAGGTCTGAATTAAGTCTGGGTTAGGTCTGGAATAAGTCTGAATTAGGTCTGGGTTAGGTCTGAATTAAGTCTGGGTTAGGTCTGGGTTAGGTCTGAATTAAGTCTGGGTTAGGTCTGGAATAAGTCTGAATTAAGTCTGGGTTAGGTCTGGGTTAGGTCTGAATTAAGTCTGGGTTAGGTCTGGAGTAAGTCTGAATTAAGTCTGGGTTAGGTCTGGGTTAGGTCTGAATTAAGTCTGGGTTAGGTCTGGAATAAGTCTGAATTAAGCCTGGGTTAGGTCTGGGTTAGGTCTGAATTAAGTCTGGGTTAGGTCTGGGTTAGGTCTGAATTAAGTCTGGGTTAGGTCTGGGTTAGGTCTGAATTAAGTCTAGGTTAGGTCTGAATTAAGTCTGTGTTAGGTCTGGGTTATTTTATTCTTTTATATATACATGGGTGACAAAACTTTTAACAGTGGAACTAAAACAATGACTTCTCAAGTTGACATGTTAAAGAAAATCAATTTTACCTCGCCCGTAGCAGTACTGCGATGTTACCGCCAGGTGGCGAAGCTTCTCGAGCGCTTTCTCGCTAGAGAATTGCATTATCGCGGTTATATATATCAGGACGATCGTCTGGTCATAAATTACATTTGCGCAAGGTCTACTATTAAATACACAACAAGATGAAATAAAAAAATATCGATATGTTTACAGGCATCTACCATCGATGGTCGTCGAAAGGGTGCTTGCCTCTTCTGCCAGGAGTACTTCATGGATCTGTATCTTCTCGCCGAGCTGAAGACGATCTCGCTGAAAGTGACCACGGTCGATATGCAAAAACCGCCGCCGGATTTTCGTACCAATTTCCAAGCAACACCGCCGCCGATTTTGATCGACAACGGCGACGCGATATTGGAGAACGAGAAAATCGAACGTCACATCATGAAGAACATTCCCGGCGGGCACAATCTCTTCGTGCAGGACAAAGAAGTGGCTACCCTCGTCGAGAACTTGTTCAGCGTACGTATAAGTACCGGGAGCTATTTTAACGAGAAACTCGTTGTTACTTTCTCCAAGTCGGCGCCAGCCTCTAATCGGTCGCGATCTCTTTTCCAGAAATTAAAACTGTTACTATTGAACGCGAAGGACAAGGACAAGGACCCAAAGTCCTCGTCGCTGATGGCACATTTGCGCAAAATCGACGAGCATCTGGGCCGCAAAGGCACGCGCTTCCTCACGGGCGACACGATGTGCTGTTTCGACTGCGAGCTGATGCCACGGCTGCAACACATCAGGGTCGCCGGCATGTACTTCGCGGACTTCGAGATCCCGGAAACTCTGGTGCATTTGTGGCGGTATATGCATCATATGTACAGGCTGGACGCCTTTTTGCAAAGTTGCCCGGCCGATCAGGATATTATTAATCATTACAAGTTGCAACAGGTAAAGTACGCGCCGGTGAAACGTGATTTAGAACGTGGCGACATCTGTCGCACTCGCCGGTAGAGGAATCCATGCTCAACCTTTGCCTCTCTCACAAGTGCTCTCGACCGTTTCTATACATATACGGACTGCTCGGTCAACCTTGGGAAAAATTTTAGGGAGAGAGTCTTGGGGCCAAAATAAGACGAAAATCAAGAATAGCAATTTGTTGATTGAGGCTCCGTTAAAAAATTATTAACGTTTAAAGTTTCAACCATACTGAATTTTTTTCTAGAAAGTGGGTAGGATTTCAAGGGCATGTGTATTCACCAAAAATGATTGTAATTTACCCCTGCAATTGAAAATATTTTTTTCAGAACGATTTGAAATTTTTTTTTTCGTCGAAAAGTTTAGGTCGATTTTTCTTAAAAATTCCTTTTTTATTTTTAGTAATTTTGTTTGACGCCCTACAGAAAAATTGTTTAATACTTTTTTGTAGGTACCCATGAGCTCTACTTTAGAAAAAAGTTTCATTGAAATATGTTCACTATTGTAGGAGTTATGGTCGTTTGAAAATTTGGACCATTTTTATGGGGTTTTTCTAACTTTACGGGGTCAAGTAACAACTTTTTCAATATTGTTAGAATTTCTACATATTCTCCATTAAAATACGCGTTGTTTGCATTTCGAAACATTAAAATTCATCTATCCATTCAGAAGTTACGATTTTTCAAAAACACTCATGAAATATCGGAGAAGCATTTTTGGCCTCACATTAGATTTTCGGTAAAGAATTTTTTTCTCGAAAATGAGCAGGATTTCGGAGTATGTCTATTCTCCAAAAATGCTTGTAATTGACCCATGTAACTAAATATAATTTTTTTAGTAAAATTTGAAATTTTTAAATTTCATCTAAAAATTTCAGTATCTACTCGAATTTTTTTCTCGAAAGTGGGTAGCATTTCGGGGGTGGGTCTATTCATCAAAAATTATTGCAATTGACTCCCGCAACCGAGAATAATTTTTCCAGAACGATTTGAAATTTTTTTTTACCGAAAAATTTAGGCATGCGCTTTCGATTTTTCTTTAAAATTTGTTTGATGTCCTACGCAAATTTTGTTTAGTACTTTTTTTAGGTATTCATGAGCTCTATTTCCATACTAAATTTCATTGAGATACCTTTACTATTGCAGGAATTATGTCCGTTTGAAAATTGGACCAGTTTTAGTGGTTTTTTTTCACTTTACTCAACTTTTTCAATATTGTTGGAATTTCTACATATTCTCCATTAAAATACGCGTTGTTTGCATTTCGAAACATTAAAATTCATCTATCCATTCAGAAGTTACGATTTTTCAAACATACGCATGAAATATCGGGGAAGCATTTCTGGCCTCACATTAGATTTTCGGTAAAGAATTTTTTTCTCGAAAATGAGCAGGATTTCGGAGTATGTCTATTCACCAAAAATGCTTGCAATTGACCCCTGTAACTAAATATAATTTTTTTAGTAAAATTTGAAATTTTTAAATTTCATCTAAAAATTTCAGTATCTACTCGAATTTTTTTCTCGAAAGTGGGTAGCATTTCGGGGGTGGGTCTAATCATCCAAAATTATTGCAATTGACTCCCGCAACCGAGAATAATTTTTCCAGAACGATTTGAAATTTTTTTTTACCGAAAAATTTAGGCATGCGCTTTCGATTTTTCTTTAAAATTTGTTTGATGTCCTACGCAAGTTTTGTCTAGTACTTTTTTTTAGGTATTCATGAGCTCTATTTCCATACTAAATTTCAATGAGATACCTTTACTATTGCAGGAATTATGTCCGTTTGAAAATTGGACCAGTTTTAGTGGTTTTTTTTCACTTTACTCAACTTTTTCAATATTGTTGGAATTTCTACATATTCTCCATTAAAATACGCGTTGTTTGCATTTCGAAACATTAAAATTCTTCTATCCATGCAGAAGTTACGATTTTTCAAAGACACTCATGAAATATCGGGGAAGCATTTCTGGCCTCACATTAGATTTTCTGTAAAGAATTTTTTTCTCGAAAATGAGCAGGATTTCGGAGTATGTCTATTCTCCAAAAATGCTTGTAATTGACCCATGTAACTAAATATAATTTTTTTAGTAAAATTTGAAATTTGTTAATTTCGTCTAAAAATTTCAGTATCTACTCGAATTTTTTTCTCGAAAGTGGGTAGCATTTCGGGGGTGGGTCTATTCATCAAAAATTATTGCAATTGACTCCCGCAACCAAAAATAATTTTTTCAGAACGATTTGAAATTTTTGTAATTTAATTTTTTAATAACTTTTTAACGAAGCCTCAGTGAAGAAATTGATATTCTTGATTTTCGTTTTATTCCCTCATTCTATTCCCTAAGCTGCATTTGGCGATGAAAGGAAACCGCTTTGGGTCAGTTGAACATATTCAACAAAAAAACGACGATTCTCAACTCAATTCCAATCAGACACATAAAAAAAATCGTTTCACGCACTTTTCGAACGTGCAAAACGTTGTATTTCTGTCGAGGGAGAATATTTTGAACAAACAAATGATATTTGACAAGATTTTCCAACTACTTCTGTTATTTTTAGAGCCATTCCGGTTATTTTTGGGACAGAGGGTATATTTCATCGGCCACCCCCGGGGAAAATTATAATGGGAGATTCTAGGGACCAAAATAAGACGAAAATCAAGAATAGCAATTTGTTGATTGAGGGTTCGTTAAAAAGTTATCAACGTTTAAAGTTCCGCCCGTAGAACGGCAATCTGCGAACGGCTGCGCGCGCATGATAGTGGTTCTCATTCACCATGCGCCGTTCCACAGACGGAACTTTAAACGTTAATAACTTTTTAACGAAGCCTCAATCAACAAATTGGTATTCTTGATTTTCGTCTTATTTTGGCCCCCAGAATCTCCCATCAAAATTTTTCCCAGGGATTACCACCGCATTCTCCTAGACCGACCATCGAATGTTCCAGTGTCTAACACAAGGCCTGTTAAAGGTTTCCTTGTTCGAATTCCTTTCGTTTACATAACAACTCTCGCAAGAATAATTTTTAACGCTTCAAATCCGATTTACTAAAAAATTGCATTATCGTGTTGCAGAGCATGAAAATGAAGAAACACGAAGAGCTGGAGACGCCAACTTTCACGACCAGTATCCCTATAGAGGTAAACGACGACTAGGCTGGACCTTCGCCGTCGGGCCTCCGATCTCGCTACTTTGATTAAAAAATATCATCGTCGGTATTCGGTGTGGACACGAACGGTGCAAACACGACGGCGCGGTAAAACGTTTATTACGATTGTTTCAACGGACGCCTTCATCCAGGAGGGGGATCCATTATTTATAAAAAAAAAAAACGTATTTGGGGTACGTGCGCTCTGTCAAAAACTTTCATCGTCCTGATTCTGATCGCGTCGATACCGTTCCACCGATTTATATAACACTTTTGCTACGTATACTTTATAAACTATCGACGACGCTGTTTTGTGACCTAAACTGATTACAGTATAAGTAGCTTTTCTACGACAGGAAACAGGAAGATCTACCAATGTATCAAGGCTTTCAAAAACTAACGACCTGTATGCGTGTTCAGAGAACCATATAATTTTGTTTCCTTTAAATTCTTAATCGGTCTTCGTTTATTTTTCTTTACGCTACGTATGAAGCTCGTGCATAGTCCTGACTCGAGTAGCATTATTATTAGCAAAGGCATTTTAATCTTTTACATTGTACTTTAGATCAAAACCTCGTATTTTTTTTTTTAGGCAGTTTAGGTGTTTTTTTTTTTTTCGTCCGTCTTTTGATGGAAAGTGAAAGGGACGTATGCATCTGAATTAAAATTAATCAACGAATATGGTAATATATTGATTCATTTTTGAGAACTGTAATGTATTTACCGTATATCTCTATATTAATTAATAAAAATGTGTAACAACTATTTTTTAAAAACCTTTCTCTTCATTGGATTTTATAATTATATCGTCTTGTCTAGATACGAAGGGATATTCTAGTCTAATGTGCTTCGTTCAACAGTAAAATTTCTAAAAGCATATTTTCATATATAATTTACAACGTTATAGAACTCTGGCAAAATCTAGTGCATACGTTTCTTCTAAGTTGTACGTTACAATACACAGCTCTTAGTTAAATTTGTTTTATCGTTGTTCGTTTAAAATTATCACCTTTGTGAATGGTTTCGTGGTTAAGAGAAATTTAACACATAAATGGTTGTTACAAATTATTTTGTAAATGTTGATTTTTAAAGAGGTGGAAGATTGATCGTCCTGGAAATAGTGCGTATCTCTATTAACACAGTCCAACGATTTAACAAACTTGGTATTTCATATTAGTGATTATATTATTATTATTATTATTATTATTATTATTATTATTATTATTATATTATAAATATTATTACTATTATTGTATTACTTTGGTTTATACTCGTAGAAATGAATATACCAGTGTTTACAATACCCTTCGAATCTGTTGATATTTCTATCCATCGTCCAGATTTATTTCCAAGAATCTTCGGGGCAAATGCAACTTGTGCAACACGTTCACAGCCAGATGAAAACTGTATAATATTCTGCAAGATTAAAATTTTGGAACATTCCTAGCAAACGGCCCGTTCGCCGATCGGGGCGAGTTATACGTCATTCGATTCGTCTAATTCAATACATTATTGATATGCATTTCATTATCTGCGGATATTCGTTATTTTTTTATAAACTTGTCGTAAAGTTACGGTAAAAAAGTAAGGTTAGGTACATTTTTTGGACAGGTTCACAGATAGAAACAAGTGACTATCGTTGTTATGTTCATGTTACAAATATAAATGATTGATCTAATTTGATAATGCTACATTGCCGAACCGGGAATTTGTAGAATGCGTATGCATAAAAATCATTTTATTACGGATAGACTTTGCATGAGTCGGTCAGGTAGACAGTATGTGCCGCAACAATTCCTACCCCCCAATATAACTCAGACCAGCTCAGACAGTACTTGTAGGTAGACAGTGTATTCAGCAAGAGCAAAAAATGTTGCCCATCCCCCAAACAGTGTTTACGGGTAGAGAATATAATAAATTACTACTGTATGCAGTGCGTTGGATTAAATTTTTTTTATTATTAAATTTCATTATCATCCAGGTCTGGTATATTTTGGTTTTCTGTAGAATCAAATGAAATTTCTGCAATTTCTTTTAATAGCTGGTTAAATAAATCATCCTTTCCTTGCTTGGAAAATTTGTAAAATACGTAGTGGCTTAAATACCCAATGAAATGATCTTTTTTGCTAAAAATAGAAAATTTTATGGTATTATATGTTACAGAAAATATTAAAAAACGTGCAAAATTACAAATACTAACGGACAATATTCAGGCAAAAAGTGTTTACTATGCCTCCACGTAGTTTCTATCGTATTTGTACGAGCGCCTGTTTCTGGGTCTTTGAAATGTAAGCTGTGATTTACGGTAAGATGTTTGTACCCCTCTTTCTCTAAGATGTTATAGGCTTTCCAACAATCTGAAATAATTGTTGTGCCAGGCAACACCCATTGTTTAATTATTGAAAGCAGGGACTCTGTGTCCCTACTTTCAACAGGCACTAGGAATATTTTTCCACTTCCTCTTTCTATTCCTCCAAAAACCCATTGTCCCTCTACACGATGACCTCTGTGATATTTTCTTCGTCCGAACTTAGATTCGTCTAATACTACTATTTTACCTGATCCACCAAGTACTTCACATGAATGTTGTAGCCAATCAGTCATAACTTGGTTTACAAAATAATTCCATCGAGAAACAGTATTTTTATTCAATTGTAATTCTCGTACAATCTGATATTGATCAAAATTATGGACTAACATGTAAATTAATTTTAATACCATTTCATAAGAAAGCTTTGTTTTTGAAAACCACGTTCCACGTTTTACACATATTTTTACATCACAAGTTCGCTTTCGTTTGCAAGCACTAAGAGATGCTGCAATTGTTTTTCTACAACGCCAATTTTCATTGTCTAATTTCATTACGTTTCCACACTGTGGACAATTAACGCTAGAAAGACTGAAACTTAGTATATACCTATATTGCCCAAAAGCAGTCAAAATGACTGCACTGTGAAAGACTAACTAATGTGTAAAGAAATTTGTTTAAAATTAATTTTTAATATTATGTTATAATATTATGAATTTAGAGCGCAGAAATAAAATAAACAACTTGTTAGAACAAGTATCACTGCATAAAGATTCGAATAACAAGTACTACTTTAGCTTATTGAGAAACTGCAATTTATGAATAGGTCTGGATTAGGTCTGGGTTAGGTCTGGATTAGATCTGGATTAGAGCTGGGTTAGGTCTGGATTAGATCTGGATTAGATCTGGGTTAGGTCTGGGTTAGGTCTCATTTACACTGTTGTTGTATTTTGTAATTTCCAAGTGTATGATTTGGTTTGGACTCGAAAAAATGTCGAATGGGACTTGACGAACAATGCTTCTAAGTGTTTTATTTGAAATTTACCTGTTAAAATAAGTGTTTTATTTACACTGTTGTTGTGTTTTGTAATTTCCAAGTGTATGATATCTGTTTGGTTTGGACTTGAAAGAATGTCGAGTGAGACTTGACGAAGGTGCTCCTGAGATCAAAATTGATGTCGAATCACACTCGACATAGGAGTGCAAAGAGTTAAGATAATTTGGATTATTAACTAACCCAGACCTAACCCAGATCTAATTCAGATCTAATCCAGACCTAACCCAGAGGTAACCCAGATCTAATCCAGACCTAACCCAGACCTAACTCAGATCTAACTCTGATCTAATCCAGACCTAACCCAGATCTAGGGACTGGTTTAGGTCTGAGTTAGGTCTGGCTTAGATCTGGATTAGATCTGGGTTAGGTCTGGGTTAGGTCTGGGTTAGGTACGCCCAAATCGTAAGTTAATTTTAATACCATTTCATAAGAAAGCTTTGTTTTTGAAAACCACGTTCCACGTTTTACACATATTTTTACATCACAAGTTCGCTTTCGTTTGCAAGCACCAAGAGATGCTGCAATTGTTTTTCTACAACGTCAATTTTCATTGTCTAATTTCATTACGTTTCCACACAGTGGACAATTAAGACTTTTGGCAATCAACTTTTTATCTTGCAAAAATTTTAATAAAGCTGCTTTATTTTTACAAAATTCGTGCAATATAAATAAGGTCCACGCTTCTGGAACTACTAATTCGCTCATTTTTATAGCACAGTTGAACAAAATTCACAAAGTACAAGAAACAGAAGAAAATCAGAAATGACAGTTGAAACAAATGATTACCGAAACAATTTCTGCTTTTCTTCTGTTTCTTGTACTATCTGCAACGTGGAAATGTTATGAAAATTGGCAATGCAGGATAACTATTCCAGGATCTGTCGATCAAACTAAACGTAAAAGACATCGTAATATAAAGATATTTGCAAAGCAAAGAACGTGGTTTTCTAAAAACAAACTCAGCTATAGATGTTTTAAAATTAACATATATACTAACATATAATTACGAGCAATGTCATATTATTATATAACTAAAATTAAATAAAAATACTGCTCAGCGATTGGAAGAGTAGAGTAGATTGTCGAGATCGATGAATCAACATTTTGTCATAGAAAATATCACAGAGGTCGCTTGAAAATTAATCACAGCGTCGGTTTTGAAGATCCCATTACCGATGCTTACACGAATTAAATTGAAACCACTCGGAGGCATGCTACACATTTTTTAATCTTTTTTATAACATATAATACTATCGATATTTTATATTTTTAAGAAGAGTAACTTCATCGAATGCCTGAGCCATTATGTATTTAGTAAATGTACCTAATAGAAAAATGGTGATTTATTCAATGAAATATTAGCAGAAATAGTAGAAATTTCATTCGATAAATGTTTAACAAATTAGCAGTTGACTAGCTAGCATTTTGAACAGAGTAACGACAGTCACTTGTTTCCACCTGTGGATTTGTCAAAATATACTTAACCTTACTTTTTTACTATAACTTTACGACAAGTTTATAAAAAAATAACAAATTTCCGCAGATAATGAAATGTATATCAATAATGTATTGAATTAGACGTATAACTCACCCCGATCGGTGAACGGGCCGTTTGCTAGGAATATACCAAAATTTTGATTTTACACCATTGCAAGCTACATAACCTAAAATTTGTTTACTCATTTTCGTAACCTTGTTAAAATTCACAAACCCTATTGAAATTTATTTCCCTCGACGTCTTAATTTGAGAATTAATTTTTCTAGTATCATAGTGGTAAATCCTGTCACCCATATATGGGTGATATGTCAGTCGAAGTGTTAAATTGAACAAAATCGATTCCAAAGTAGATTCCGATGGCAACGAAAAAGAACATACCTCGGCGACGTCGCTGTCCATTCGTGCGAGTTTTAAAATAGCACGCGGTCTCCCCTTCCCCGTGATCGCGACTGTTGCGTCTTCCATTCATAAATAGGGAAGCACTTGTACGAGCGGCCATCTTGACTACGGTGATCAATCGCGTTCTCTTTTATTTCGATCTCCAAGAACGCACGATGTCGCGTAAATCCTCAAAAGTTACGTAATAATAAATTAAAATAAAATGATCCCAACCTAGCGAAATAATTTTACCGAATAGAAATTATTTTCCCGCGAAGAGTTGTTCCGTTGACTACCGTCGTTTCAGTATGCAGTGCACAGCTGATCAGTGGCCACGGCGGACGGTCGACGCTTGCTCGTGCTTTGAAACCATCGAAAACGACGGAAAAGTTACCGTTATCCACGGCACTTTACAGTGACAGTTGTAATCCGAATCGTCGACGCGTGGGGAAAATATCGCGACGCCCGCAAAGTGTCTCCGTTAAGTGTTCGAAGTGTGCGTTACCGTTCCTCGTTCGTTGGACATTTCCAATGGTTGCCGTCCGGTGAGTTCCAAGCATTAAATCTGAAGCCGGATTCCCCTCTATGTAAAGTAATTACTTCATAATTCGATTCGATCTTGGAACGTACGAAAATTCCACGACCTTTTTATCACGCTGGTTATCTCGAAAACATGTTGTCGGGGAAAGAGGGGGAACGCGACTTTTAGTCTGACTTTTGGTCGCGTTCGGTCCACGCGACACGAAAATACACCTGCTACGGAATGCGCTGGAAATGCAACGCAACAACAATACATTCGTCGGTTATCTCCTTTTTAATCGCTTACCAAACCGAGTTTTCTGTTTACGGCCACGCGTGTTGATTTTTAAACGTTAGATCTGTTAGCTGTGTGGTATAATATCTATTTCACCAGATATACATCGATATTGATCACGCTCAACGTCATTTGTAATTTGATATAATTGATCGATCGCGATTCCTCGATAAACCATGCCAAACGTGTTCGAAATGAAATTTTTTGGCACTGACGGAAACGAGATTCAAAGGCCAGCGATATGTATTTATAATCGTGTAAAAGTGAGCTTCTTGGAGAGTTAATAGCTAACTTTAGGGGTACGTAAATTATTACGATCGTAAAAAAAAACGGCATATCGAGCAACTTGTGCCTCGTTTGCGATGTTCGTCTTTGTAACATTATCGCAACGAACGACCCGTTACCTTATATTGTTTCGGACAAATTATATGCGAAATTAGTTCGAAGGGAGATACGTAAGAAAATGCTGGATTTTTCGCTGATTGGATTACGAAATGTTTACGTAGTAGTTGATGCTGACGTTTTCTACGCCGAGGAGTAACATTATTTTCAGGATAGTGTTTATTTTTGCCTCCGGTCGTAACTTATTGTAGCTCTGCTTAACGTTAACGGTACCGTCCCTCGTCAATTATTATTCGCACGAGATTCGACCATTTTTTCACCGCTGTGACCCAACTCGGCCATACTTGTTCCGTTCTCGTGGCCCTGAAATTTGTATTCGTAGGGTAACTGATCGCAGCGTCATAGCAATTGGTATTTCTTACCTTCGTAAATTTAGAAAACATATAGTTACTGGTTAGGGCATATTATAAAAGTTACTGTCCTGTTTTCACAAACGGGTTCAATATTTTTTATGACACGCCTGGGACAAATTTTAATGGGAGATTCTAGGGGCCAAAATAAGACGAAAATCAAGAATACTAATTTGTTGATGGAGGCTTCGTTAAAAAGTTATTAACGTTTAAAGTTCCGCCTGTGGAACGGTGCACTATCGCGCGTGCGCAGCTGTTCGCAGATTGCTGTTCTACAGGCGAAACTTTAAACGTTAATAACTTTTTAACGAAGCCTTAATCAACAAATTGGTATTCTTGATTTTCGTCTTATTTTGGCTTCTAGAATCTCCCATTATAATTTTTTTCGCCCATTTTTCTGGGTCTCTAGGGCTTCATTAATACGCATTGTTTGAAATTCGAGTCATTAAAATCCTTCAATCCGTCCAGAAGTTATGATTTTTTAAACATACGCATGAAATTTCGGGGAAACATTTCTGGCCACACGGTATATCTTCGGTAATGAATTTTTTTCTCGAAAATGCGCAGGATTTCGGGGGTACGTCTATTCACCAAAAATGATCGTAATTGATCCTCGCAACCAAAAATAATTTTTCCAGAACGATTTGCCATTTTTTTTTTTCCGTCTAATAATTTCACACATTCTCGATTTTTTTTCTGGAAAGTGGGTAGGATTTCGAGGATGTGTTAATTCACCAAAAATGCTTGCAATGAGCCCCTGTAACTAAATATAATTTTTTTAATACGATTTGAAATTTTTGAATTTTCTCGAAAAATTTCACACCTCGAATTTTTTTTTCGAAATTGGGTAGGAATTCGAGGGCATGTCTAATGACCAAAAACTATTACAATTGACTTCTGTAACCGAAAATAATTTTTCCAGAGTGATTTGAAATTTTTCAATTTCACCGGAAAATCACACTGTCGATTTTTCTTACAAATTCGTTTTTCATTTTTAATAAATTTGTTTGACGCTCTACAGAAAAATTGTTTAATACTTTTTTGTAGGTACACATGAGTTCTACTTTAGAAAAAAGTTTCATTGAAATATGTTCACTATTGTAGGAGTTACGGTCGTTTGAAAATTTGGACCATTTTTATGGGGTTTTTCTCACTTTACGAGGTTGAGGAGCAACTTTTCGAATATTTTTGGAATTTCTACATATTCTCCACCCAAATACGCGTCGTCTGCCTTTTGAAACATTAACATCCTTTAATCTGTTCAAAAGTTATGATATTTTAACGATATGAACGAAATTTCGAGGAATCATTTCTGGACTGACATTATATTTTCAGTAATAAATTTTTTTCTCGAAAATGCGCAGGATTTCGGGGGTACGTCTATTCACCAAAAATGATCGTAATTGATCCTCGCAACCAAAAATAATTTTTCCAGAACGATTTGCCACTTTTTTTTTTCCGTCTAATAATTTCACACATTCTCGATTTTTTTTCTGGAAAGTGGGTAGGATTTCGAGGATGTGTTAATTCACCAAAAATGCTTGCAATGAGCCCCTGTAACTAAATATAATTTTTTTAATACGATCTGAAATTTTTGAATTTTGTCGAAAAATTTCACACCTCGAATTTTTTTTTCGAAATTGGGTAGGAATTCGAGGGCATGTCTAATGACCAGAAACTATTACAATTGACTTCTGTAACCGAAAATAATTTTTCCAGAGTGATTTGAAATTTTTCAATTTCACCGGAAAATCACACTGTCGATTTTTCTTACAAATTCGTTTTTCATTTTTAATAAATTTGTTTGACGCTCTACAAAAAAGTTGTTTAATACTTTTTTGTAGGTACCCATGAGCTCTACTTTAGAAAAAAGTTTCATTGAAATATGTTCACTATTGTAGGAGTTACGGTCGTTTGAAAATTTGGACCATTTTTATGGGGTTTTTCTCACTTTACGAGGTTGAGGAGCAACTTTTCGAATATTTTTGGAATTTCTACATATTCTCCGCCAAAATACGCGTCGTCTGCCTTTTGAAACATTAACATCCTTTAATCTGTTCAAAAGTTATGATATTTTAACGATATGAACGAAATTTCGAGGAATCATTTCTGGACTGACATTATATTTTCAGTAATAAATTTTTTTCTCGAAAATGCGCAGGATTTCGGGGGTACGTCTATTCACCAAAAATGATCGTAATTGATCCTCGCAACCAAAAATAATTTTTCCAGAACGATTTGCCATTTTTTTTTTTCCGTCTAATAATTTCACACATTCTCGATTTTTTTTCTGGAAAGTGTGTAGGATTTCGAGGATGTGTTAATTCACCAAAAATGCTTGTAATGAGCCCCTGTAACTAAATATAATTTTTTTAATACGATTTGAAATTTTTGAATTTTGTCGAAAAATTTCACACCTCGAATTTTTTTTTCGAAATTGGGTAGGAATTCGAGGGCATGTCTAATGACCAAAAACTATTACAATTGACTTCTGTAACCGAAAATAATTTTTCCAGAGTGATTTGAAATTTTTCAATTTCACCGGAAAATCACACTGTCGATTTTTCTTACAAATTCGTTTTTCATTTTTAATAAATTTGTTTGACGCTCTACAGAAAAGTTGTTTAATACTTTTTTGTAGGTACACATGAGTTCTACTTTAGAAAAAAGTTTCATTGAAATATGTTCACTATTGTAGGAGTTACGGTCGTTTGAAAATTTGGACCATTTTTATGGGGTTTTTCTCACTTTACGAGGTTGAGGAGCAACTTTTCGAATATTTTTGGAATTTCTACATATTCTCCGCCAAAATACGCGTCGTTTGCCTTTTGAAACATTAACATGCTTTAATCTGTTCAAAAGTTATGATATTTTAACGATACGAACGAAATTTCGAGGAATTATTTCTGGCCTGACATTATATTTTCAGTAATGAATTTTTTTCTCGAAACTGAGTAGGATTTCGGGGGTATGTCTGTTGACCCAAAATGATTGTAACTGACCCCTGCAACTGAAAATAATTTTTCCAGAACGATTTGAAATTTCTTTTTTCGCTGAAAATTCCGGCGTCGAATTTTTTTTTAAATTCGTTTTTCACTTCTAATAAATTTGTTTGACAATGTACGGAAAAGTTGTTTAGTACTTTTTTGTAGGTATCCATAAGCTCTACCTCCAGACTAAATTTCAATTAAATATATTCACTATTGTAGGAGTTACGGTCGTTTGAAAATTTGGACCATTTTCAAGGGGTTTTTCTCACTTTACGAGGTTGAGGAGCAACTTTTCGAATATTTTTGGAATTTCTACATATTCTCCGCCAAAATACGCGTCGTCTGCCTTTTGAAACATTAACATCCTTTAATCTGTTCAAAAGTTATGATATTTTAACGATATGAACGAAATTTCGAGGAATCATTTCTGGACTGACATTATATTTTCAGTAATAAATTTTTTTCTCGAAAATGCGCAGGATTTCGGGGGTACGTCTATTCACCAAAAATGATCGTAATTGATCCTCGCAACCAAAAATAATTTTTCCAGAACGATTTGCCATTTTTTTTTTCCGTCTAATAATTTCACACATTCTCGATTTTTTTTCTGGAAAGTGGGTAGGATTTCGAGTATGTGTTAATTCACCAAAAATGCTTGTAATGAGCCCCTGTAACTAAATATAATTTTTTTAATACGATCTGAAATTTTTGAATTTTCTCGAAAAATTTCACACCTCGAATTTTTTTTTCGAAATTGGGTAGGAATTCGAGGGCATGTCTAATGACCAAAAACTATTACAATTGACTTCTGTAACCGAAAATAATTTTTCCAGAGTGATTTGAAATTTTTCAATTTCACCGGAAAATCACACTGTCGATTTTTCTTACAAATTCGTTTTTCATTTTTAATAAATTTGTTTGACGCTCTACAGAAAAGTTGTTTAATACTTTTTTGTAGGTACACATGAGTTCTACTTTAGAAAAAAGTT